AGGAATGCACTGTTCCTCTTTTCTCGTGTTGGTACAACACATTCCCGTCTCGTTGTGGCATTTTTCTGGCAAGTCCCGAGTTCTCTCTGCCTCAAAATGGAATGAAAATGTGTTTTGCCCTGTGAAATCACAGATTTATTTTTTTTTGCTCTTAGTGCACTGTGTCACCTAATTAATTCCCTGCCATTTCTGCAGCTGGAGTGCCTCAGTGTCTAAGGCTTTTTGCCTCTCGCACACCTGTTAATTCGTTTGGGATGGAGGTATTTGGCCTACCTCGTCTGTAGGCTCAATGGCGGGGATTTGGGTGAAGTTTGGGTACCTGGGCTGGGCTAGACAGCAGTTTAGAGCGGATAAGCGACTATTCCCCCGTGGTTTATATTTCTATGAGACTATGAAATTTAGCATTCTGGAAAAAAATCCAAGCTCAGCCTTATCGCCTCTTATTTATTAACAGAAGAGAAACAGCAGCAAACTTCCTCCTCTTGCCGAGGATTTTATGCCTTCCTGTCCCCTTCGACCTGTGACTTCTGAGCTGACAAATAAGAGGGCTAGTCATCTGTGACGACAGCAGCCGTAAGTGAAAAGATGGAAGTGAAAACCCACGAGTCCAGTAATTCTGGGAAAGTTTCAGGTCAAATTTCAACAAGTCCAGTAATACTGGGGAAGTTCAGGCCCCTAACAATTAGTCACGCAGCGGGGATGCCCCCAGCTCCGGGAACACCACCTGCAGAGTTTAGGGCATTGCATTTGGCTAAGTAATGAAGCAGGCCAGAAATCAGAGCAAGTATCAGTAGCTTTTTTTGGTCTGTCTTTTGAGATCATGGTTCTAGATGGTCCATTTTTGTATTTGCGTCAGTCAAAAAGGGCCTGAATGGGACCAGGAGGCTTAGGTACAAGACAGTACAGTCTGGTGGACAGAGCCAGGGTCTTGGCCTCTGAGACCTGGTTTCATTTCTAGCAGAGAAGCATTTCTGCTGCAGGACTCTGATCAACAGTGTTGCCAAGTCTTGTGGAAAAAAAAAAAGTGGTTCTGCCTTTAAAAAACATGCCCAACCCATTTCAAAGAAGGGTGGGGAGGGGCTGGGGCTTAATCAACCCATGACTGTCAAAAAAGTAAAAGTAACTTAAAAAAAAAAAGCAGCCCAATTCCGCTTATTATAAGCAGGCTTGACAACACGGATGATCAAGTCCCTTTGTTGCCTTATGCCTCAGTGTTTCCACCTGTAAAATGGTGAAAACGCCACTGGCCTGCTTGCTGAAACCCACTGATGAAACTGCAACAGAAGACCAATTCTTTTTATCGCTGGAGGTGCAGGGTGGGGGTCCTGCTATGCAGTTCCTCCTCTCTGGCAGTTAAGTTTTGGAGGGTAAATGTAGGCAAGGTTCTTTGGGAGGATGCGAGATCTTTTATTAGACCGACTGAGTCATTGGAGCAAAATTCTTTGCAAGCTTTCAGGCAGAGGGAGGATAAACGTGGGTTTCATAGTTTCTAGGGTTGGAAGGGACCTGAGCAGATCATCAAGTCCGACCCCCTGCCATGGGCTGGAAAGAGTACTGGGGTCAAACGACCCTGGCAAGGTGTCTATCCAGCCTCCTTTTAAAGACCCCCAGGGTAGGAGCCAGCACCACTTCCCTTGGAAGTTGGTTCCAGCTCCTAGCCGCCCTGACTGTGAAGTAGCGCCTCCTGATGTCTAGCCTGAATCTACTCTCCCTCAACTTATGGCCGTTATACCTTGTTACTCCTGGTAGTGCTCGGGGGAACAGGGACTCTCCCATTGCCTGCTGGTCCCCCTTGGCCAGTTTGTAGATGGCCACCAGGTCCCCTCTCAGCCTTCTCTTGTGGAGGCTGAACAGGTTCAGGTCCCGTAGCCTCTCCTTGTAGGGCCTGCCCTACTGCCCCTAACCATGCAGGTGGCCCTCCTCTGGACCCTCTCGATGCTATTCACATCCCTCCTGAAGTGCGGTGCCCAGAACTGCAAGGGTTTAGGTTGTAGCCATGTTGGTCTAAGGGCATAGGCAAACAAGGTTCCTTGGGTGAATTTGATATCTTTTATTGGACCAACCCAAATATTAAGCAAGCTTTTGGGTTCAAAAACCCTTTGTCAGGCTAAGGAAGTTTCAGCAGTTGGTGTGTGCTCTTCCTGGATGGAATGAAAAGTAAAGAAGCCAAGGGCTGGGCTGGTCTGGGCAGTCAGTTGCCAGGCAGATTATAATGTATCAAAAATCCAATGTCTATGTTTAGTCCCTGATCTCTAGTATCCAGCAGGTTGATGAAATGGAGCTCGTAGGCTCGTGTCTGGGAAGTGTTGTGTAAGTTTCCCTTGAGGATCAGGATTGAGAGATTGGAGAGAGTGGCCCTCCTGTGAGAAATGTGCCCAGAACCGGACGCAGTACTCCAACTGCGGCCTAACCAGTGTCGCACAGAGGGAGAGGATCACCTCCTTGGACCTGCTCGAGGTGCATCTGTGGATGCACGACAAGGTTGGCCTTCCTGACTGCATCCCCACACTGTCAGCTCATGTCCATCTTGGAGTCTATAATGACTCCAAGATCCTTTTCTGCCTCTGTGCTGACGAGAAGGGAGTTCCCCAGCATGTAGGTGTGCTGCTGGTTCCTCCTCCCCAGGTGCAGCACCTTGCACTTGTCAGTGTTGAAACCCATCTTATTCCGTTTCAGCCTGCTGCCCTGGCTGGTCCCAGCTTTCTGGGCAACAAACAGAACCAAGTGGGCTGAAAGAGGCAGAGCCTGGATCCAGAATGGTTTAAGCCCAGATTTGGTCCCAAAATTTGCCTGGCTTGAATGCTGAGGCTTGGCTCCCCACCCATGACAGCCTTTAAACTGTCAGGGACAGACCCCCCTTCCCGCATTACACCGCAGGCAGCCTAATGCCCATCTCACAACAACTCTTTCACCCTCCCAGGCTGTTCTTTGGCCCCAGGAAAGGATCTTCTCCCAGGAGCATCACTTTCTAGCCGAGGCTGATGGCCCGGACCCAGGCCCACGCTTTCAAGCCAAAACCAACTGGCCTGATTTCCAGCAGGGGCCAAGCACCTACCAATCCGAAGGAACTGCAGATTTCTGGGAAAACAGCCGATCCCATATGACGGCTGCATTTCGGCCTGGATTTGAGCATTCAGCTTTCGGGGCTGACAACTTTGGATGCGTACACAGGCACTGGCTGGCCATGCATCACCAGGTTCTCCCACAAGAGGCAATGGTGCAGGTTTTGTACCAGGCTGTCTCACTGGGGAGCAATTTCTATCTGCTATCATGTGGGGAGGAGTGGGGAGTGTTGCCAAGCTGAAAAGAGCAAGGGACCAGGACTGGGGACACCTGGGTTCAATTTTTAGCTCGTTCACTCATCTGCAGTGTTAACCCCTGGGCAAGTCTCAATACCTCTGTGCCTCAGTTTCCACAGCTGTGTAACAAGGCCA